TTTTTTTTTTTTTAAACGCACATACAAAACTGATTTACAAGTACAAAATATTTATGAGGACAATTTGAGCCCATAGGACTTGATATGAAACTCTTTGTGAAAATAATTTGTTTTCTTTGCAGATGTGATTGAAGAAGAAAATCCATCAAATCAATAAAACACCATGTTTGTGCTTCAAATGGAACGATTATCCAATCAGTAGTCAATAAGTAGATAAATCCAATGCAACACGTGGCCTGCAGGACAGTCGGGCTGTCGACAGATGATTGAACGTCTCGTAATTTTTCCTTCTTATTACGAAATAAAATTAATCGACCAGCCCTGCCTCAGCGTTGTGTTTAACATTAAAGGTGTCCATCCCATAATTCATGGACAGGATGCTGTGTGCTGAACATGTAAATGTGTTAGTGTCACTGCAGAAAGCAGTCAGACAAACACGACTCTGGCAGATGATTTCAGCCCAAACTAATAAAGACCCCGCCCCAAAGTTAACGTGTTACCATGGTGATCTGGTTAGAAAAAAACAAAACTAACTTTAAGCTCAACATACTGAGTAAAGTCCTTAATGTCAGTCACTGCATGGTGTGTGGCCTTACTGAGGTCCTCAATAACGTGACCTGTAAACCTGCCACTCTGAACATTTATACACAAAATCAAACAACTCCATACAAAACCACGGTAACATGTGCACATTCTGAATATCTAAACACGGTGACAGCATAACTACACTTTGAATTTAGATTACGCCGTAGCCTTGTGAACATTCGCTTTGTTTTATACGCTTAGCTGTTTATTTAGTTGTGTGAAGGGAACTCGCAAAGTAAGACTTTCTTTGCTCAGCGTAACTATTTGTGTTTTGCAGTCTTCTTCTGATCTGCACTAATGCTCCCTCATCTCAGCACAGGCGTCTTTAAACTGTGAGCCCTGTTCTCTTCAGACGGCCTGTGAGCGCTTCTGAGACCGACTGAAATTAAACACTCAAGCTTCGCCATCTTCACAGATGTTTTATTGGAGGTCACAGCAGCACAGGACCAAACATCGACGATGCTCATCATGGAAAAAACTAACAGACAGAATTCCACATTGAACAGGTTTCAGTGCACTTCAGTAATAAACACAAAAATCAAGTAAAACTACTCGGATTGGAAACTTTAATGCTTCATTATCAGCTTTTTCCTCAAATTGATGGAGAATGTTGGAGTTAATAAATAGAGTGGAAATGATTCCTTTAGCATCCATAAACAGAGCGGGCTCCCTTCAGTCAACATCTACACCTCACTGGTCAAATAATGTAAACACAAACACACTAATTACATCAGTTTCACCAACAAATAACTTTTTCTATAACGTACATTTGTTCCTGTATGTACAGTCGTCCCTTTCCTGTGTTAAATGAATCCAGCCTGAGGACTGGGCTCAGTTTACGCCTCAGGTGTTTTTGAAGGATTTTTCCAGAGTCCTCACAGAACAAAAGCTGCACAAACTGTTCAAATTAAACAGGTTCAGTCCGGGCCGAGACTACATGCACAGGACCACGAGTGCATCAGAGGGAGCACAGAGAGTGAGAGCTGTGCTGCTGATGTATGCAGACGTTAGCAGGTTTTTATCCCTGCAGCCTCAGCTGAGAAACAGCAAACAATAAAAAAAAAATTACATGACATCATATTACATGAAGTACAGGAAGGTTTAGGTTTTCCATTTTAGGATCATATTAATGCTCAATAAGTAAGTAAATAAATAAATGTAAATAATTCTCAACACAACTTTGGACCCTCGAGCAGTACAGCCGGTCTACAGCCCTGTGATCATCACCAAACAGACGTGTGGCTGAGAAGTTCCTGCTGATGTTAGCTGAGGTCACGGTCACACTGTCATGGAAGGTCTCAGGTTTGAGACCCTGCTGTCACATCATCCCTTCATATTACAGACTGTAGCTGATTTACAGTGAATACAGTCCAGGATGAAGTTTGGAGGATCACCCAAAGATTTGTTCATGTTCTACATGAGTCCGTGTGTTTCTCAAAGATCATTAAGGAGTTAATTTGGAGGCAGGACTCTGGAAAAGCATCCAGCCTACAGAGGCTGACACATGAGGACAAACTGAGGCCAGCTTCAGCCCATATTTCAAATATAAACGGACACATTTATGTACCAGTGAATAAAACCTTATTATGATCGCACTGAATAATGCCCAAATACAGATGGAAGGGGGGAGGAATGCAGTTGGAGGAGTGGAAGCATTGCAGTGAGAGGACAGAGTGGAGGGTGGACAGGTGTGGTGCAGGTGTGTTACTCTGTCTGTGGCACAGAGATGGCCGGGCCTTTGGGATCATCAAAGCGGTCCATCGTGCGCAGCTGCATGATCATGTGCAGGCCGTAGGTGAGCACCAGGACCATGAGCAGACTGGTGATCAGACCCATCCAGATCCCTGGGGAGAAGAAGCCGGCGCAGTCGCTGGCGTACGAGAATTCACCACCGCTCACGTTAAAGCCCTGAATCTGACGGCGAGAAGGAGAAGGGGTTCAAAATGTGGCGTTTGCTTCATTTCAGACTCACATAACAGGCCAGAAATCTCACTGACATACTCATACGTTTATAAGTAAATACTTTTTAAAGTCTATTTATTTATTGAATGAATAGATGCGCTTCTTTGGGGTTGTGTGAGGAAGGGCATCATAAATATTTACAAGGGGCCGGGTTTAGCCGGGCCGTGACGTAGACAGGAATCCTAGTATACTAGGACACGTGTCCAGAATAAACGGAAACACGGGGAGAAGTTTCACCTACAAAAATGAATCCATTTCACTAATTCAGCCCAACTGATGAGCTGAGGGGGGCTGAGCCATGGTTTACGGCCTTTGGACCAATGAAGACGAGCGGGGATGTGAAAAATTAGCCTCTGTAGCTCAGATTGTCTGTGAAGGTTCTCAGTCATCCAGGTCATCGTAGTCAAAGGAGCTTGCAAAGAAAAGCGTCTGGACTTCTTTAAGTTGCTTGAAGACGTTTCA